CCCCCACCCCCACCCCCGCACGAATTTCATGCACCAGGCCTCTAGTATATTATAAAAATTTTTAACTCAGGTTTTTTAACCCTTGCATTGTCCAAGGGTCACCTGTACTGAGGAATGTTTTTTTCACCAGGTATTTTTGCAGTGTTGAAGGAAAAGTGCAAACGAATTCATAAAGCTTTACAAGGGTAAGTTTTCTGTTTTCAACCAGCTTAAAGTTTACCTGCTCCACATATAAACAATTACTGAAAATTTTTCAATGTTGTCTCTTTAGTTTGGAGTATATTTGATAGGCTCGGGTCAGTTTGACTGAATTGCAACTAAGAAACCAAAACCTCAGTTCACTCAGATTTGTTTGTCTGTATGCATGAAACCAGAGCATCCGCTGTGTCGTTATTTTAAGGAATCATGATTGTTTTTCTAAAGAGTGATACAAGCTCAATAATCAAATATGCTAGCAGTGCACAAGATAGAAACAACGCATGCCCGAGCGCGCAGCCGCCAGAGTGGTCAGCATGAGCTCTGGGCACGCCACGCCTGTAGGAGCAAGCGGCCGGCACGTGCTGCTCGTTGGTGACTGTGCACGTACTGTCCGCAGGCCTTAGGAAATTACTAAGCTGTATTTCAAGTTCATATGAGAAAAAGAAACAAGTGAAATTGGAGTGAGCCTGATGAGTGGCTTATTTGTTTTAATGACACAAGAGAACTTCAAGATTCCTCGAGTGAGAGAAAATGGAGGCTGGTGATGTTCCAGGCAGATCTCTGGTCTTACAGAACATGATCTCACAGTGCCCAGGGGGTTTCTTCCTGCCTTTTCTAAGGTGAAACCTGCCCTTTTGGTGATGTAAGGCATCTCTTTGTTGCCAGATATGGAAACTAGAAACTTTTGTAAAAGAAAAGGCCAGGTGAAAAGCGAGCAGCGAGCAGCTGTGCCAGGTAAAGGAGGGCAGGAGTGAGTCACGTCTGGGTGTGTCTGCCTCAGCGTAACAGCAGTTCTTGCATGATGTATGGTGGAGAGGCACAGTGTGTGTGCGTCCAGTCTCGCTGGTGATGAAATGTGAACGTACAGCACAGTCCAGCTGGGCGTCCCGTCAGCCCAGGAGCAGGTGCCTTCTGCTGCTGGCAGGGTGCTGTGCTTCGTTGGCAAGGCTGGCCCTCCACTCTCCCCAGCTCTTGGCCACCTTTTCCTCTCTCCAGTGTGTTTACCCCTCTGTCTCTCCATCTGCGTTGAGCTGCAACCATGCCTCCTGCTCTCACTGGGAACTCCCTCGCCTCTCCTAACAAACCCATGCACTTCCGGGCTCTGAACCCGTCTCCCCTTGTGTTCCAGCCAAAGAAATGTTCTCCAGGCGTCACAGCTCTCTTTCTAAAGGCGGGTGTGGCTTTGGTGTGCCTCCTCCCCGTCCTGAGTCATGTGATGAGCATTCAGCTACACTGTCCTCTCTGTAGTGTACATTCCTTTCCCTGACCTCTCCTTCACCTCCGGCAGCTAGCCCGCTCTGCTTCTCCGTGTAGCTCATCTCCATGCCCTCGCCCCTCATCTACACTTGAAACTCCTGAATCTGCCTCTGCTCTCACGCTTCTCCCAGACGGTGCCCGTGGAGGCCACACTGACTGCCTCGTTGCTGCATCCGGCACAGTCTTCTGAGCTCCTCTCCCGTGGCACAGGAGCCTTCAGCACAGTGACCACTTTCCTCCTTGCGGCTCTCTTCCCTGGGTTCTGTGACAGCACCGGTTTTCCTCTGCCTCTGAATCGCCTCATGGTTGCCTTTGAAGCCTTTCTGTTAGCACCCTCCTCTTCAGGGCGTCGTCTGTGCTCCTCTTTCCTCCGGCACCTCCTTGGAGGATTGTGTGCTTCCATCCTGGACTTCCATCGTGATCCCTCTATGTGGGCAACTCACGGATTTGCATCTCCAATGTATCCCATTCTTTAGGGCTCCAGGTCTCACATTCAGGGCTTATTACCGAGTAGTTCTACGTGGAGGACTCCACAGGTACCTCAGATCAACCCGCAGTAAGGCAGGTGTGGGAGCACATCACACAGGTACCCAGATATTTAGAGATAACAGGAGATAAAACAGCAAGGATGCCAGTGTGGCAAGAGGGAGAAAGGCCAGGGCATGCAGGGCTTGGAGGCTGTGACAAGAACCCGGCTCAGATAGGAAGCTGTGGCCTGGTTCTGAGCAAAAGATGGCAGGATATAGCGGGAGGAGGGGGGGGTCTCTCTTTTCCGCGTCCAGCACGGAGAGAATGATCTGGTTATTCAAGTAGAGGTGCTGGGGATTGAGAAATGAAATAAAGAGACAAGACACAAAAATAGAAGGAAAAGCTGGGGCCGGGTGGGACCGTGCTGTCCTCTTCTGACAGAGACAGACAGACCCAGCACTGAAGCAGCATGTTTATTTTATAGCCCAAATACCAGGAAGTTACGTCAGTAAAGGGCGGGCCTGGCTGGTGGGCTTGAGGAGCAGTCAGGAACCCGAGGGCATGGCTCCACCTCAGGCCCCCTCCCACAGGGCAGGGCACTTGGTGTCCCTTGGCCATTAAGCCAGGGAGTGGGGTCAAAACTGGCTTGCCAGTCAGAGAAAGGAGGGTCCTATTCATTCCTGGTGCTTGGCTGGATCTACAATAATAAAACCCACTCCCCGACACCTGGGCAGCAAAGATAAGAGTCAGTGCTGAGAACACATCGCTGTCTTGGTAAGATGTGTATCCACGGCTCGGCTCTGCCAGTCACCTTGGGTTCAGCTGACAGTATCTTAGGAAGCATGCCCATGTGTCTTCCCTGGGGGGCCCTCTACAGCAGGACATGACTGAAGGCATCTTAGCAAAGCCACTCTTGTGCTGTGTGAAGAAGTAGATAATATTCTACGGTAGCGAGTACCGAGGCAGAGACCAGTGAGGAGGTTGTGCGGTGCTGCATGTAAAAGATGACGGTCACTTTGACCTTCCTACCAGCAGTGGATTTTGGATGGAGTTTGGAGCTGGATTTGCCAGAAGTTAATATTCCAGTGAGTGAGAAAGAGAAGACGCAAGCTTGAGCTTAAGGTTTTTGGTCTGAGTAACTAAGCAGAGTTGCTAGTCAGCGAGATGGTTAGGACTGCTGGGGGCAGTGTGTTGGGCACGGTCAGTGGCTGTGTTAAGCTCGAAATGCCATTAGACGTCTGGGAGATGTAGCCGCTTAAGTTTAAGGGAGAGGCCTCGGGTCAGTTGCATATAAATAGTATTTCAAGCATTTCCATGTGAAGCGGTCAGGAGCCAGAAGGAGACTGAGGAAGAGTGAGGAGAGTCTAGTGAAGAAGTGGCGCAGGCCACAAGTCCCCCCTGCTGCGAGGTGGGTCTTCGCTTCCCGCCTGGAGGCTGAGCAGTGTCGGGAGGAGCAGGTGCAAAGGCCTGACAGAAGCAGGATCCGGAGAGACCGGGAGGGAGAGATGGGACACAGTCACATGACAGTTTTGAGGAGTTTGGCTGTTCAGAGAGACAGAGAAAGGATGGTGACTGGAGGAAGAAAATGAGTCAAGAGAAGGAAGTTTGTTTTGATGTTCGCACAGTCAGTTTATAAAAACACCACCTCCTTTCTTCACTGGTTGGTCTCTGTCATATACCAGTGTCTCACTTGTACCTGAATCTGGTTTTTAGCCATCTTTTCTCCTTCATTGGTTTATTTGTTGAATCCTCAGGCTGTTTTAATTACTATCTGTTTTTATCACTGTATAACTTTTGGTATATGTGCTGCCAGAGTGAGCACAAATCACCATATAAGTTTTGCAATAAGTTCAAGTTTCACCAAAAATAATTACTAGAATTTTAATTGTAATTGCATTAAATGTTTTGATTAATGTGGAGTGTATTTGTATCCACTTATTTGGATTTTCCTTTGTGTCCTTTAATGGAAATTTAAAATTTTTCTCTAAAGCTTTTTTATCTTATGGACCGTTAAAGGTAATTTGTAGGTATCCTAATGATTTTATTTCTATTATAAATAGGATTGTTTTTTCTTTTATATTTTCTTTTTAATTATCACCCGAGGATATTTTTCCATTGATTTTTAGAAAGTGGAAGAGAGATGGAAAGACAGAGAGAAATATCGATGTGAGACAAACACATCAATTGGTTGCCTCCTGCACGCGCCCTGACCAGGGCCCTAGCCGGGAGGAGCCTGCAACCAAGGTACATGCCCTTGACTGGAATCGAACCCGGGACCCTGCAGTCCGCAGGCTGACGCTCTATCCACTGAGCCAAATCAGCTAGGGCTATATTGTCTAACTATTGCTGACTTACAAGAATGTTCTTGTTTTCTCTAAACTAATCTTACATTCAGCAGTAGTTCTTTTCTCTAATTGATCTTAAATTCTAGTAGTTCTTTTCAGTCTGTTGTGATGATGCACATAGAAATCCTATTATCTGCTACTAGAGGCCCGGTGCATGAAATTCGTGCACGGGAGGGGGGTTCCCTCAGCCCATCCTGCACCCTCTCCAATCTGGGACCCCTTGGGGGATGTCCAACTGCCGGTTTAGGCCGGGATTGGGCCTGAACCAGCAGTCGGACATCCCTCTCACAATCAGGGACTTAACTGCTCACCTGCCTGCCTGCCTGATCGCCTCTAA